ACCTTATTTCATTTCGGCTACAATAATCCAGTTCACCTAAACTATTATTTTTTTGTCTGTTTTTATTTTTTTGTCGGGAATCCCTATTCTTTGGTTATGCTTATACATTCAACTAATATTCTTTCTTCTTAAGAATTAAGAACTGGAGGCCTACCGCATTTGTTAACTTAACCTTTCAGGGCAACAATGAAAGCAAATCTTGATTTGCTTTCATTGTTCATTGCTTTCAAAAAAATTTTAACCACTTTTTTTTTCTTTTTTCTTTTAATTGTTCACATCTCCAAGGCCAAGAAGGTCTCTACAGTCAAGGAGACTACTTTAATTGTGTTTATAACCCTCTTTCATGCTCAAACAAGTTGAGCACAATGCACCCAAAGACGCTTCAAGGTCGCTTTTTTATTATTTTGATTTTCCAAACTTTACTCTTTTTAACTTACTCTTTTGAAAAAACTTGTGAAAATTTTGTACATAATTATTATTACATATTAATAATAATAATAATAATAGTAATAATAATAACAATAAAAATAATAATAATATTAATAACTGTTTATGAAATTAATAGTTTCTAGAAATAGACTTTTTTTCTCATATCCTAAATTAATTAGAGTACAGACAATGCAAAACTATAGCAGTTAGAGTTTTTGTTTGCTCTACAACAAAATTTGTTAGAAAAAAAATTGTTTCAATAATAAGGTTTGTCTACTGAGATCGGTCTACTAAGGTTAAATAAACTACTACTACTGATGACACTAGATTTTACATTAAAAAAATCAATATAATACTTTTTTTTTTAAGATACGTACGCAAATGATTGATTTACTTAACCCCATTCCTATTAACGATTTAAATTCTTTTAAACTTGTAACTGATGCTTTGGATTTAACGTCTCAATATCCATTAGAGCTAGCTTTTCAAACTCAGGTATATATTTATTTATGTACGTATGTATGAATGTATGTATGTATGTATGTATGTATGTATGTATGTATGTATGTATGTATGTATGTATGTATGTATGTATGTATGTATGTATGTATGTATGTATGTATGTATGTATGTATGTATGTATGTATGTATGTATGTATGTATGAATGTATGGATGCATGTATGTATGTATGTATGTATGTATGTATGTATGTATGTATGTATGTATGTATGTATGTATGTATGTATGTATGTATGTATGTATGTATGTATGTATGTATGTATGTATGTATGTATGTATGTATGTATGTATGTATGTATGTATGTATGTATGTATGTATGTATGTATGTATGTATGTATGAATGTATGAATGTATGGATGCATGTATGTATGTATGTATGTATGTATGTATGTATGTATGTATGTATGTATGTATGTATGTATGTATGTATGTATGTATGTATGTATGTATGTATGTATGTATGTATGTATGTATGTATGAATGCATGTATGTATGTATGTATGTATGAATGTATGGATGCATGTATGTATGTATGTATGTATGTATGTGTATGTATGTATGTATGTATGTATGTATGTATGTATGTATGTATGTATGTATGTATGTATGTATGTATGTATGTATGTATGTATGTATGTATGTATGTATGTATGTATGTATGTATGTATGTATGTATGTATGTATGTATGTATGAATGTATGTATGTATGTATGTATGTATGTTTGTTTGTATATGTATGTATGTATGTGTTTATGTATGTATGTATGTATATATGTATGTATGTAAGTAGGTATGTATTTATCTTGTTATATTACTTATTCTCAGAATAAAGCATCCTCTACTGTACTCAAACTGTCTGAGTTTTTCACCAAGAAAAATCTTAAAGGTTTTGGAGCAGACAACTTTGATACCATGTCTCAATCATTTGTAAAATCAATATCAAACTTGTTTCTGGCTTTTACAAACAACAATGTACCTGGTAATACATATATATATATATATATATATATATATATATATATATATATATATATATATATATATATATATATATATATATATATATATATATATATATATATATATATATATATATATATATATATATATATATATATATTTATATATACATATATATACAAAGATATATATATATATATATATATATATATATTTATATATATATATATATATATATATACATATATATATATATATATATATATATATATATATATATATATATATATATATATATATATATAATATATATATATATATATATATATATATATATATATATATATATATATATATATATATATATATATATATATATGTATATATATATATATATATAAATTTATAGAAAATCACTTAACACAAATTTTTCTCTATTTTACACTGTATTTTATCAAAAAAGACTCATCAAAAATGAATGATCAAATTAATAAAACTTCAATTTATACCAAAAAATTAAATTACAGGAAGTCGCAAATGTTTTAACTACTGTAAGTTTTTTACACATTTGTGGAATTCGCTACACTATT